TGGGATTGGGAGAGGGGTTGGGATTGGGAGAAGGGTTGGGATTGGGAGATATTGGGAGAGGGTGGGATTGAAAGATGTGGACAGAAGGTTGGGTTGGGAGAGGGTGGGATTGGAAGATATTGTGAGAGGGTTGGGATTGGGAGAGGGTGGGATTGGGAGAAGGGTTGGGATTGGGAGATATTGGGAGAGGGTGGGATTGGAAGATGCGGAGAGAGGGTCGGTTTGGGAGAGGGTGGCATTGGGAGGTATTGGGAGAGGGGTTGGGATTGGGAGATAAGGCAGATGGCAGGAACATGACCCTGATTGGTACAAAATGCAGCAGGACCTCCCAGATGGGGGTCTGACCAGCCCCCCAGCTGAAACCCATTATCCCCCTCCTCAGGGTCCTACCCAAAGATTCAAGCTGGGCCATGGGGTCTGGGGAGGGTGGTGGAGGATACCAGGAAACACCTCCTCACACAGGGGGGAAGTATCTGGAACTTGTGAATGTAAGGGGTTAGTTGAAACTTTCAAGACTGAGATGAGGAGGTTTGTCACGGATGTGGACATTTCTGGAGAAGGAGTGAGCAGGGTAAACAGAGTCAAGGTGGAGAACAGCTGAGGGTGAATGTAACTTAAATTAATAGTCCAGTGATAATACCACTGGGCCGTACGCTCCATTGTGGGTCAACCTACAGCACATGGACTGCAGCAGTTCAAGAAGACAGCTCACCACCACCTTCTCAAGGGGGCAACTAGGGATGGGCAATAAATGCCATTGACGTATGAGGTGCTGAATGGACTCCTCCTGTGCCAATGTGACCCATGCCCCTTTCTGACACACAGGGCAGAGGTTATACCTTGTTCTGTTATCATGATGTTGTCATTGTGTCGGTCTCCAATTCCCAGGACGTAGGTAGCGACACAGTATCCAGCACAAGATGTCACAAATGTCTCCATCGCTTGGTAATACTGGGGAGCACAGAACACATGACACACTGAGACACACAGCCAGACTTTGTGATTAATAACCAAGGGCCAATAAATGCCCCTTTCTGAGCCCGGGACGTGCCCCAGCTGGGTGTTTGGGTCAGCGATGGAGGAACTGGGCCATGGATGCGAGGACTGCTCAAGGGTCTGCGCACCTCAACACTGGGCTTGTGGGACTTATCAGTGCCCCAGACACTCACCCCTACCATCCAGGCTGATGGCCAATGCAGTACTGAGGATCCAAGGGGGATTTAGACAGGCTGAGTGAATGGCAGATGGAAGTGAGAGGTAGGAGGAATGATGATGCAGAGTATTTAGAATAGAATAGCCTTCACTGTCACATGCACTCAATTCAGGGCAGTGAAAAGTTTCTAATTTCGCCTCTTGGTGCCACCTTAGGTACAGATACTTTAAGTGTTGTTACAGAGTGAAGAAAAATGGTTAGCACGGGAAGTGTTTGAAAAGTCCAGAATGATGATAAAAGTGACCATAAGAAAAGTTCCAGTCCCACTCCAACATGAGTCTGTGCCCACCAACCCCACAACACAAGGCCATGCTGCCTGCATGTGCCGACCCCCATCCAGGACTCACTCTACTGCCGCTCCTGGAATGCCCCACTCCGCCAAAGCACCAGTAATCAGCTCAGCTTGCTCCCCTGCCCGGTGCCGGACACATCTCCCTCCTCTGCCTGGTGCCAGCTCCCCCCACCCAGTGCC